TATTGATCAATTAACCATTGACTCAAAAATTTTAGCTTTAAAGACTTTGTTATTTCAGTTATTTGATATCTACAAGAAGAATGTAATTCCTGATGTGGTTCAAAATGTGCAAAATGTTGCAACTTCTACTACTTTGAGTCAAACTTCTAGTCCTATATCTGTCCCTATAATGAGAAATTTTTCGATTGAAGGCTTGAAAAGAAAAAGGCTATCTTCTTCTTCTTCTTCTTCCACTAACACTTCTGAATTACAATTTTATCTTGATTTACCAACAATAGAAGTAGTTGATGATAATCAATTTAGTCTTTTGGATTGGTGGAAAAACAATAAATTAACATACCCTATTGTTTCCCTCATGGCTAGAGATTTGCTAACTGTTCCAGCTTCTACTGTAGCATCAGAATCATGTTTTAGTGCAGGTGGTAGAGTTGTATCAGAGAAAAGGGCCAGTTTGAGTCCGAGTACAATAGAAGCTTTAATTTGCTTGAAAGATTGGGCCTTGGCAGATTCAAGAAAGCAAGATGCAGCAGTAGATGAGCAACAAGCTGAAGAATTAATGAACATAAGAGCATCAAGACCAGATTGGATGGCAGACAGTGAAGTTGAGATTGTTGGTGAATCTGAAAATGAGACCATTCAAAGTTGAAATGTTATGTAATAGGATTATATTTTATTTTGCAAGCATGGGATGTTTGTTGTAGTAATGGACTTTCAGACTTTATTATGCTTTTGAGTGTTTGCCTTGCAATGAAGTTTTTGATTAGATTGTTAGTGACTCTAATTTGATTGTGATTAGATTGTGATTTTGTAAGACCTTTTTGTTTTGGAAGGATATAAGATTTGTAAGACATTTTGTTAGCTTCATACTTTAGCAAGAATGAAATGAATTTTATATATTTGACTTTTTAAATAGTAAGCCCATTTCGGCCCGGCCCAATTGGGCTTGCTCGGCCCGGCCCGATAAAGCCCATTAAGGCCCGGCCTATGATTCGGGCCTGGGCTTTGAATTATTGAAAAAAGCCCAGCCCGGCCCGGCCCGCTAATATTTCTTTTACGTGTTTGAGCCCGGCCCGGCCCGGCCCAAGCCCATAAATTTTGGGCCGGGCTAGCCCGGCCCGGCCCATTGACGAGGCCTACTCTGAGTTGTTGTCTCTTCCAACGGGAAAAAAAGATAGTTGGATCTAGGTGCTAGGTGGATATCTTTACCATAAAAAAAGAGCAACAGCAAACCTTTTGTCACTAACTAATTGGTATTGGTGACAATTGAATGGTTGGTCAATGCTTTTGTTTACTTATCACTATTATTTGTGACTAATCTCTCACATTTTAATACTTTGGTGACAGTTGATTTAAATATAATAAATATAAAAACTAATTGTGTGATTAACACCGAAACAGTAATTTTTCATGACTAATATTTGATTAGAGCCTTGCTAATAATTGTAATCCAATAAAATATTCGGGGGATTACCCAACCTCTCGTTCTCTTTCCTCAACCTCTCATCTCCTACTCCTCAAACAAATCGAAACTTACCCCTTTTCTTTTGTAAGCTCTTCTCTCCCAAAACAACCCAGCAACCCCTTTCTTGTCTGATTAGTCGTATCAAATTTTATAACATTTAAATTAGCAAAAGTATTTTCTTGAATATGAGTTAGTCGTACCAAATTTTTAAGCTTGTGGCTTCCCATCGAGAAAGCTCTACCTTCATGGTTCTATTATTTATTTTAATGTTTGAATGATTATATTTATTTAATAAAAAAAAAAAAAAAAAAAAAAAAAAAAAAACTCTCATCTACAAATTTGAACTCAAACGTATATACAAGTAAAAATGTTACGGACACCAAATTTATACACCAAAGTTGAATTCCAAATGAGAGGTGGCATTAGCCACATCATCAGATTTTCAATTAAATTTGACACATGGTTCATCTATTTTATCACTAAAATTTAAAAACTAATTTGTGATTTAACCTAAAAAGTCACCACTACAAAACGCCCATGTTTTATTAACACCCCTCCTCCGTTGTTCCGCCCGCTAAACTGCCCTATACACCAAATTATTTATTTTCTTATTCGAACCCCATCAAATACGGGATTTATAGAAAGGATTTTATTGAAACTCAATGTCATTATTCGAGGTTTTGGGATCCTGCCTTTGAAACTGGAAAGCCCACATGTTCGCCCATAAAAGAAGGGACATTTTTGCAATGAGGATTATATGATCCAGGTCGGCCTCGTATTTATTTCATGATTAATTTGGATACCTGGTGGTCTAGAGTGGTGAGGAGCAACGCAGTAGGAGGCAGGCACGACGGAGGGAGGATTGGTGGTTGTAAGTAAAACACAAGTGTTCTAAAGTGGTGGCTTTTCAGTTAACTCAAAAATTAGTTTTAAATTTTTTTGTCAAAATAAATAAATTAATGATTAGCACATGTGTCAATTTTAGTTAAAATCTGATGATGTGGTTGTCCCACCTTATTTGGGACTCGAATTTGGTGTATAAATTTGGGTGCCCATAGCAGTATTCATATACAAGACCCTTGCTGAATCCATTATGCGCAAAATATCTTGAGATAAAAAATTACGCTGAGAATATGAAGGAAAAACCTAGTGATTAATTCAAGCTTCTACAATATACAGGTAACCCGTCTTTCATGCGGAGGTTTTATACTTGCATTGCGCCTAAATCACACAATGTGTGACGCAGCTGGGCTTTTCCAGTTCTTGAACGCCGTTGGGGAGATGGCACAAGGTGCACAAGCGCCATCTACTACCCCAGTGTGGGAGCGAGAGCTCTTGGGTGCTCGAGATCCACCACGAATTACTTGTCTGCATCATGAATATGAAGAAGGGATTGATGCTCAAGGCTCATTTCCAAGCACTAACAAGCCAAACATGGTCCAACGATCTTTCTATTTTGGGGCCAAGGAGATAAAGGCCATTCGGAATCATATTCCCCCACAATTATCAACCTGCACTACATTTGATTTGATAACAGCTTGTTTGTGGAAATGCCGCACACTCGCACTTAGAATGAATCCAAAACAAGTTGTTCGCCTTTCATGCGTAGTCAGTGGACGCGGTAAGCGCCACAATGTACGTCTTCCCTTGGGATATTATGGCAATGCATTGCATTTCCTGCTGCAGTTTCAGAGGCTAAAGCTATATGTACAAATCCATTGGGATATGCTTTGGAGTTGGTAATGAAGGCAAAAGCTACAGTGAATGAAGAGTACATGAGATCAGTTGCAGATCTTATGGAAATAAGAGGACGACTACCAAAATATCCATTGACGGGAAACTTCATAGTTTCCGATACAACGCGTGCAGGTTTTGGAGAGGTCAGTTTTGGTTGGGGCAAGCCAGTATTTGGTGGACCTGCGAAGGCCTTGAATTTGATTAGCTTCTATGTTCAACACAAATGCAACAATGAGGAGGGGGTATTGGTACCAATATGCTTGCCATTATCGGAGATGGAGAGATTTCAGCAGGAGTTCGAGAGGATGACTGTGGAGACTGTGCAGACTACGGAGGATATATATGACACAAAATCAGCTAAGATCGTGTCAAGGATGTAACAGATTTTCTCAAATTTTAGATTTCTAGTGTGATGTCAATGGATTTCGGAATGTACCATATACATTAGATGCAAAGGCTTATGTGTGTGTATATGTATAGCCGCTTCTCTTTTATGTGCTATCTCATGTCGTGTTTTTGTGATTTTCGTGCGTATGTATGCTTGACTTTTTCTATGAGCTTTATTCCAACAAAAACTATTGGTGTTGTAGTTGCATGACCATTTTTGGAGTGAATTTAGCGAGATGAAACTTTCTCCACCGCTGGCCGCGCCGGCCGGCCGTCCCTCTCTCCGGTCAGCCGCGCCACTACCACTAGCAACCAGCAGGCTGAACGACGAAGGCCCTTCCCCAACTTACTGCCATGGAAATCGATCACTGCCAAATTCCTAAAGACTTATTGGCTTATTGACCTTCGTATGAAGCCTATATTTCCATAGAGGATTCAGTTTATTCTTCAATACCATAAACCCACCTCCTTTTAGATCCTCAATCTATTTCATTGAACCCTACATTGAGAGAGAGAGACAAGATCAACCATGGCAATTATTAGGTCTACCAGATGATGATTCTCAAGCCTCCTTTTAATGTTCAAGGTTGTGTTGAGAAATTGGTAAAGAGATATGAAAGATGGGGAAAAATGGAAGATGAGCCACAACCATGACAGGCCGTGGGGGTGGGGGGACTTGTCGGCGAGGAAGGGTTGGGGTTGCTATTTTTTTTCTTTAAGTTTTTATTTTTATTTTTTTAAAGTTGAAAATGTAAAAATAAACTTTTAAATCCAGCTGGATAAAGTGATGGGCTTGACGGTGCTGAGAAAAGTGAAATACAAAACCCCGGTGAGGTAGAGGACTCCAATCTTGGAGCCTTAAGGTGAAGGAGTCAAAATCAAGAGAAACAAAAGGTCTTTCCAGTAAAGGTGTTCATTCTTGAGAAATTAAGAAAATGTCATCAAGGGTAAAGATCTATTCCTTTTTTCCTTTTTTTCATTTGTGTTTCAAAGAGAGAACCCCAAAAAAAAAAAAAAAAAAAAAAAAAAAAAAAAAAAAAAAAAAAAAAAAAAAAAAAAAAAAAAAAAAAAAAAAAAAAAAAAAAAAAAAAAAAAAAAAAAAAAAAAAAAAAAAAAAAAAAAAAAAAAAAAAAAAAAAAAAAAAAAAAAAAAAAAAAAAAAAAAAAAAAAAAAAAAAAAAAAAAAAAAAAAAAAAAAAAAAAAAAAAAAAAAAAAAAAAAAAAAAAAAAAAAAAAAAAAAAAAAAAAAAAAAAAAAAAAAAAAAAAAAAAAAAAAAAAAAAAAAAAAAAAAAAAAAAAAAAAAAAAAAAAAAAAAAAAAAAAAAAAAAAAAAAAAAAAAAAAAAAAAAAAAAAAAAAAAAAAAAAAAAAAAAAAAAAAAAAAAAAAAAAAATAGGCTAAGATACTTAGTTTAAAATGAAAAAGGTTTACCTCAACTAGTATAAACAAAATGAATCCGCCATTTAGAATGTTTTTGTTGTATAGGTTGTGGGTAAAGTTCATTTCCTAAGCATTAGATTCATGTTTCCTTCAATAAGCATTGCTAGCCAATATATGCATTCACCTAAGGAGGATTATATAGCTGTTGTGATGCATATTCTGAGTTACTTAAAGTCTACTCCTGGGAGAGGTTTATTATTTAAGAAAAATGGCAACTTGGATCTAGAAGGTTACACTGACGCAGATTATGCAGGGAATATTACAGACAGACGTTCTACATCAGGTTACTTCACATCTGTTCGTGGTAATTTGGTTACGTGGTGTAGTAAGAAGCAAAACGTTGTGTCTCGATCCTCTACAGAGTCTGAGTACAGAGGGATTGCCCAAGGGGTTTGTGAAATATTGTGGTTGAGGTGGTTACTTACTGAAATTGGGTTTAGACCGAATGCTGCTACAAAGCTCCACTGTGATAGTCAGTCTGCATTTGAAATTGCAAACAATTCGGTGCAACATGATCAAACTAAACATGTAGAAGTTGATCGACATTTCATTAAGGAGAAGTTGAAGCATAAGTTAATTTCTATACATTTTGTGCCTTCTTCGGAGCAGCTTGCAAATATGTTGAGCCATGTTGTGTCAAAGCGCCGATTTGAAGACTCACTTGACAAGTTGGGCATTACCGATATCTATGCACCAACTTGAGGGGGAGTGTTGGTATGAGTCAAAGTCAACGTTCCTATTAGGAATAGATTTTATATTTTATTGTAATTATCTAATTTGAGTAGAATTATGAGATTTTGCACATATTTCATATTTGTACCCATTATGTATATAGTATATACATTTCTCTTTGAGAGAATAATAAACATATCAGTTCAAACCCTAATTACTTTTGAATGATTCATGAATGGAAAGAATTATTCACTCAAGCCCACCATGTCAAGACAAGAACGAACAACCTTTTCCATGCGTGGTCCTCCTCATGTTTTGTATTTGTTGTACCTGTTGCTAATTGAACTGTGAAGTGTTCATCTTATCCACATATATGTTAACAAACCCAAATTTTTTGAACCGTCAGTAATAATCGAAGCTTATAATATAAACCAAGGATTTGTAGTGTTGGACCTGATATATTTGGTGTAAAATATAGGCTTAAATGTCAAAATGGTATGTGTGTTATATCATGTTGGTCAATTTAGTTCCCATTTATTTTTTATTTTTTGGCCAATTTAATTGCCGTGTTTAGAATAATTAGTCAATGTGGTACATTCCGTTAAATTTACCGTTAAATAAACATTATCCTTTATTCTTTTTTTTTTGGTCTTTTAAAAAGCTAAAAACTTTTATTAAATTTAATAAAAAATTTGAATTAACTTAAAATATTAACTTACTCTTAATTTTGTGTTGATTGATAGAGCCCCTTTATAAGTACAAATGGTTTAAAAGATTACATAATTTTAACTTCAAAAGACGAACTTAACATTGTTTCTCTTTGACAAATTGGAAGCGTTAGCACAGATCTATTTCTGGTTCTCAATGATAGAACATGATCCAACAGCCTTGAAGCCTTGAGGTGTGTCTGGAAGGTGGAGGTTAACAGGGTGGTGGGTGGCAGTTGGAGAGAGAGAATACAGAATGGGGTTGGTGGCTGGGATATATTGGATGATGTTGTCTTTTTATTTTATTTTTTGGATCTCATTTTTATTTTGTAGTTCTTATTTATTTATTTTTAAAATTGAATTCAATTATTTATATTAGTTTTTAAAAGTTTTTTAACAGTAGATTAATGGATTGGACTACATTGCCTAACGGTTCTAAACACAATGACTAAATTGACAAACACTATAAAACACAAGGACCATCTTAACATTTAAGTCTAAAATATATCGAATTCATTATAACCGTTAATAAGAGCATAAGAAGGTTTAGAACACCCAACTTTTAATGCTTTTGAGAAGAAAATTGATTTTGGATTTTTTTGAATATAAATGATAGTTTAGTACAAGGGAAACAATGTTACAAGGGCATGAAATTGTCTTTAAAATTTTAAAGATAAGGTGGGTAGAGAAATAGCAGCACTTAATGAGAAACGTGAATCATTCAGAACGCATCAAAAATGGCCACCATGTCATAACAAGAAAGAACAAACCTTTTCCATGCGTGGTCCTTATGCTTTATATCTGTGGCACCGTGTATCAATTTGACTTGATTGTGTGAAATGAAAAAGAAATTTGGCAATAGTCACAAAGCTCAAACACGTCTATAAATATATACCTGTCTATCATAAGTATAGTACTTGTGCTTTTATTTTAAAGTGTTCAAAATTTTCTTTTATAGTACTGTTTTCAAGCCCACTCACTTGTGCAATGATTTCCCCATGCGCCTTCGTATTTCAGGTGAACCGTTTGAAGCCAGAACTTATAAAACTGGCTAAGCCAACACCTCAAGAAACGAAGCTACTGTCAAATGTTAATGACCAGGAAAGCCTTAGGTTTCATATTCCAGTCATAATGTCTTACAGGAACAATAATCCTTCCTCAATGAATGCAAATTGTGATCCGGTTAAGGTGATTAGGGAAGGACTAAGTAGGGCATTAGTGTATTACTACCCTATGGCTGGTAGGCTCAGGGAAGGGCCTAACAGAAAGCTTATGGTGGAGTGCAATGGAGAAGGTGTCTTGTTCATAGAGGGTAATGCTGACGTCACTCTTGCGCAACTCAGGGACACGATTGCACTCCCTTCTCCATTCTTAGAGGAGTTTCTTTATAATGTTCCAGGCTCTGAAGGGATTCTTGGTTGCGCTCTGTTGTTGATTCAGGTGAGTATTTGTTAGCTAACTGCATGTTAATTAATATTTGTTTTTTGAATTTCTTGGTAGATCTTGGCCCTTCAATACAATGAAAGTTTCTGATTGCTAGAATTTACTTCCATAGAATCTTTGCCTCTTTATGGATTTGAAGTAGGCGCTAAGATATGAATATGGTTTGAATACTTTGGATTGTACTTATTTATTCTTCTCCATAAGGAGATATATATATATATAGGAGTTTACATATGAGGGTTTTACACTAGTAAAAAAACCCCTTGCACGATGAAACTCAAAACTTCGTCGCTCAAAGTCTTGCACACCAAATTTTGCGTGACGAAAAACAATTCGTCACGCAAAGTGACTTTGTACGACAAACTTTTGCGCGACTACAATACATGGTCACTCAAAGTCTTGCGCGACGAAAAATATGTCGTCGTGTAAAGTCACTTTGCGCGACAAACTTTTGCGCGAAAACAATACATTGTTGCTAAACGTGACTTTGCGCGACGAAAGAATAAACTTCGTCGCGCAAAGTCCTTATAAAAATAAAAAAAATAAAAAAAATATTTTTTAAAATCTTTGCATGACGTAATCCAATCATTTCGTCGCCTAAACCAATTTATTTTTGTTTTTTATTTTGTATGCATAACACTTAAGAAATTAAACGGTATATATATTTATTAAGTAGCTTTAAATTTATTATTTGATATCAGATCAGATTTTTGTTAGAAAAATATATTATTGTTGTCCAGATTGGGTTTTTGTTAGAAAATATATTTTTTAATTGACGATCGAATTAGTTCATTGTATTCATATAGGGTCAATGAGTGTAGCTGTAAAAAATCATCAAAATCGGAGTTAAAATAACCGTTAAATCGTGATTTTTCATTTATTACCGTCGAAAAGTTTTGTCTCATTACTTAATCTCTGAATGTTTATTTTTTTCAATTTTTGGCGTATATGATCTCGAAGTATAAACAAACAAGTTTGATGGTTGGATCGTTGAAACTAGTTTTGTTAAATGCATATGCCATCAAAACAATATATTCACTAACAATTAAGAGTTTATTTATAGTTTCGTTAAATATAAAATAAGATTTTGTGGTATCCACTGGTGTAAATATTTTAAATTGAAGATCAAATTCAGTCATTGTATTCATATAGGGTCAAGGAGTATAACTGTAAAAAATCATCAAAATCGGAGTTAAAATAACCGTTAAATCATGCTTTTTCATTTATAACCGTCAAAAAGTTTTGTCCCGTTACTTGATCTCTAAATGTTTATTTTATCTGATTTTTGGCGTATATGATCTCGATGTATAGACAAACAAGTTTGACGGTTGGATCGTTGAAACTAGTTTTAGAGAATGCGTATGCCATCAAAACAATATATTCACTAACAATTAAGAGTTTATTTATACTTTCGTTAAATATAACATAAGATTTTGTGGTATCCGCTAGTGTAAATGTTTTAAATTGAAGATCAAATTCAATCATTGTATTCATATTGGGTCAATGAGTGTAGCTGTAAAAAAATCATCAGAATCAGAGTTAAAATAACCGTTAAATCATGATTTTTCATTTATAACCATTGAAAATTTTTGTACCTTTACTAGATATCTGAATGTTTGTTTTTTGCGATTTTTGGGGTATACGATCTTGAAGTATATAGAAACAAGTCCGACGGTTGGATCGTTGAATGGTGTGTGTATATATATATTTATTTATTAAGTAGCTTTAAATATATTTATTTTGTACGTATAACACTTAAGAAATTGAATAGTATATATATTTATTAAGTAGCTTTAACCTTATTTATATTTTAAATCGTAAAATAAAATTATTTTATTTTTTATTATTCATAACAATTATTTTTATAAATATTGTGCTACGAACTAATTTTTCGTCTCTCAAAAGTTTGTGCGACCAACAGTTCGTCGCGCAAAACTCTAAAAATTTGGGAAGGTACCAAAAATGGGGCACGAGATTTAAAAATAATAATAAATTTAGACTTTGCGCGACCAATATTTTTTGTCGCTCAAAACTTTACGCAACCAATATATATTTTTAATTCGCAAAAATTTGGGCGGGTACCAAAATGGGACGCGGGAATATTTTTATATAATTTTTTTAGACTTTGCGCGACCAATATGTATTTTTTGTCGCGCAAAAATTTAAAATTTTGGGCTGGTACCAAAAATGTGGCGTGGGAATTTTTTATTTATTTATTAATTTTTTTTAGACTTTGCGCGACCAATATTCCTATATTCGTCGCGCAAAACTTTGCACGACCAATATTCCAATATTTTTCGTCACTCAAAACTTTGCGCGACCAACAATATTTTTCATCGTGCAAAGTGATACGGTTTTTAAAACCAAAATAACTCATCCACCATTTTCTCAATGTCTTTCTCTACTCTTACCTCTCCTCTCTCTTACCCTCTCCTCAAATCCCACCCTTTCTCTCACACTCACTCCTCTCACTTAATATTTCATCTCTCTCTTCACTATCTCTCACTCTCACTCACTCTCTCATCTCTCTATTATTATCTTCTCTAATTCTCTCACACTCACTTCTCCCTCTCATTCTCACTCACTCTCAATCTTGCCAAAATGTATATTATCTCCAAATTTTAAATTTTTTTTCATTAATACGTGTTTTTGGAGTTAGTTTTGAGTTTGTGCGGGGTTTGGGTTGAGTAAAGGGGAGGGATTGGAGTTTGGGTTGGATTTGTGGTATAACAATTTTAGGGGAGATTATGCCTTCTTCTTTTTTTATTTTTATTTTTGTTATTTGACCATATTTATTTTTTTGTAGGGAATTATCAAGACTTTGACGGCTAAAATTGAGGATTAGGAAGCTATCAAAACCTATCCTCCGCCACTACCACCACAATACGCTTGTATTAGGATGTTATTATTGTACTTTGTTAATTTATGTGTACATTTTTAATATTATATATATTTATTGGATAATTTGATCACTATTTTTCATATGTAATTTTATTTTGAATATGTCAATTTAAATTAAAGTAATTAAAAACAATCAAACAATTAATTTTAATTTAAAAAGTAAAAATTAGAAAAAAAATCATATAATTAAATTAATATCAATTTAAATTAAAGTAATTAAAAAATCATGCAATTAAATTAAATTTAAAAATTAAAATTTGAAAAAATTAATATTAAAGAAATAATAAAACAAAAAGTCAAAAACCTTGTGCGACAAAACATTTCGTCGCACAAACTATTAAATTAGTTTATTTTAATTTAAAAAATTTAAAACACAAAAAATATTTCGTCGCCCAAATATTTGCGCGACGTTAGTATTCGTCACGCAAAACTCCAAAAATTTGGGTGGGTACCAAAAATGGGATGCGGGAATTTTTTTTGTATTTAATTATTTTAAGACTTTGCGCGACCAATGTTTTTCGTTGCGCAAACATTTGCGCAACCAATATTTTTTGATGCGCAAAACTTTATGCGACCAATAGTTTTTGGTTGCGCAAAACTTTTACGACCAATATTTTTTCATCGCACAAAGTCACTTTGCTCGACCAATGAAAAAACTTGGTTGCGCAAAGTCTTTCTTCACGTTTTTTGCACGACGTATTTTGCGCAACGAATTTTCTGTCGTGCTAAAATTTGTGCGACTACAATGTATTTTGTGCGACGTAATTCTCTTCGTCACGCAAAGTGTAAAATGTAGTAGTGTTACAAGGAATTAGGAAAGTATCTCATAATTCTACAATGATTTATCACTTATATAAAAATAGGAAAGTAAATCCCTTAATTAATCAAGGAAGTAAATGTCCTTGATTAATTAGGAGACTCACGTCAACACTCCTCCTCAAGTTGGTGCTTATATGTCACGAATGCCCAACTTGGAAAGTGAGTCATGAAATACTCTTCCACACTCACAGCATGTGCAATATCTGATCCTGGAGGACGTATGAAGAGTAGAACCTTTGGTGGTGGTGATAAAAGAAGGAGTTTGGGTAGTCAGGTCAGCAGGATTGACCGCATGCTTCTGTGAGTCTGCAACAAGATGGAGAATCGTATCGGTTCTTGACATCACAGCAGAAGTAAAATGTGATATGAGAAGGTGGAGAAGGTGATGTGAGAAATTTGATGTATGAATTTGATGTAGGAATTGGATTTAAGAGGTATGTGTATAAGATTTGATGGTATGTGTTTAGGGATTTGGATAAGAGGATTTGAGGACTTTAGATTTGAGGGATTTGGATTTGGAAAAAAAAAGAGAGAATTTGATTTAGGGTTTTGGATTTGAATATGAGAAATTTGAAGAAATTTGAGATAAGGGTTTAGAGACAAAACAACTTCTCTTCACTCGGGGTCGTCAAAGTAAAGAGATATGTAGTATCTTCATGGGAATACATCAAGGTAATGGGGATACGTCAATAAATATATCATTTTCATCCCCCCTCCTCCCTTTGAAAAGGAGGGGAGGAGAGCACTTAAATTTCAAGAAGAACACAAGCACAGGTCACAAGAGAACCTGGCACTGATACCATGCTAAGATATGAATATGGTTTGAATACTTTGGGTTGTACTTTATTCTTTTCCATAAGGAGGTATATATAAGAGTTTACATTCAATTACACCTATTTCTAAGGCTAGGAATTCGTGATCCACCTTTGGTGGGATTTGATCTAGACTAAATCAAGTAAGTAAATATTACAAATATATTACAAAGATAATTCTTAACACTCCCCCTCAAGTTGGAGAGTGAATGTTATGAAGTCCCAACTTGTCACGTAGTGTCACAAATTGATCTTTCCCCAAGGCTTTTGTGAATACATCTGCCAATTGGAATCGTGTTGGTACATATGAAGGACTAATCATTCCAGCTTGCAGTTTTTCTCGAACTATGTGACAATCTATTTCAATGTGTTTGGTACGCTCATGGAAAACTGGATTTGCTGCAATATGCAAAGCTGCCTGATTATCACAAACAATGATGTTGGAGCTCTTTGTGGGACTTTTAAATCCTGTAATATATAGCGCAGCCAAGTGAGCTCCAAACATGTGTTAGCCATAGCTCGATATTCGGCTTCTGCTGATGATCTAGAAACAATGGTTTGTTTCTTAGACTTCCATGAGATGAGACAGTTCCCAAGAAATACACAATATCCAGTAACTGACCTTCTAGTGGCACGACAACCTCCCCAATCTGAATCACAAAAGGCTCTCAAGGCAAGATTGTTGGAGGCAGGAAAAAACAAACCTTGACCAGGAGTACATTTGATGTATTTAAGGATCCGTAAAGCAGCATCCCAATGAGGTTTGCGAGGTTGATGCACAAACTCACTTAATGTTCGAACAGAGTAAACTATATCAGGCCTTGTAACAGTAAGATAAATCAGTCTCCCAACCAATCTTCTGTACTTAGTTGGATCATTTAGCAACGCTCCATCTGTGGGAGTAAGCTTCAAATTTTGCTCATAGGAAATTTGTCTGGACGTGCACCTATAAGTCCTGAGTCTTGCAAAATATCTAATGCATATTTTCTCTGAGACATGAAATACCTTTCTTGGAACGGGAGAACTCAATGCCTAGAAATATTTCAAATCTCCAAGGTCTTTGATACGGAAGCGTTGGAGAAGAAACTTTTTGAGACGTTCCATTTCTTGAAGATATTTCCTGTGATAAGTATGTCGTCAACATAGATAAGTACTGTAGTAAATGAATTACCTTCGGCCTTGGTAAATAGTGAATAATCAGCCTTTGATTGTTGATAACCAGCCTTTTGTACACTATCTGAAAAGGTAGAAAACGAGTTTCTAGAGGCCTGTTTGAGTCCATAGAGGGATTTATTGAGCCGACATACAGTGTTCTCCCCTTGTCGGCGAAGACCAGGAGGAGGCTCCATGTAAACCACTTCGTGTAAATCTCCGTGAAGGAAAGCATTCTGGACGTCCAACTGGTGGATGAACCAATTGCGGGCAGCAGCAACAGTAATGAGACATCGTAGAGTGGTGAGTTTTGCTGTGGGGGAAAAGGTCTCTTCGTAATCAATGCCCTCAACCTGAGTGTAGCCCTTAGCAACTAGCCGAGCTTTGTATCGTTCAATGGTGCCATCAGACTTGTATTTGATTTTGTAGACCCATTTGCATCCAATCGGTTTATGACCAACGGGTAAAGGGACCATACTCCATGTGTTATTCTGTTGCAAGGCCTCTAATTCTGCATGCATGGCATGTCGCCAATTTGGATCATGGATAGCTTGTGCATATGAGGTGGGCTCAGTGAGACCTGTAATGTTAGCTAAAAAAGCACAATGGGCAGAAGAAAAGCGAGAGTAAGAAAGAAAATGAGAAAGGGGATATCGAGTACCTGAAGAACGAGGCGTTGAGGCAGAATGATTGACTTGGTTGGACATGTGGTAGTCGCTATGCCATGTCGGAGGGTGTTTGAGACGAAGGGACTGACGCAGAGGTGGTATAGATTGTGTGGATTGAAGTGTGGGCTCGGAAGAGGATGAATGGAGAGGAGTTGGGTTGACTGAGTGTGAAGGGACTTCAGAGGGTGCGGAAGAAGTGGATAGGGGGGACACGGGTGAATCATGATGGGTTAACGGAAGTATGTTGGGATTATTTGGTAAGGTATGGGTGGTGGAATTATTGGGTAAGGTAGGTAGGATATGGTTATGTGGTGCTTGGAGTAACGGGTTGGCAGGTGGGGTAAGGTTAACTGGTGGGTCAGACACGTGGTCGTGTGTGTCAAGCACATGGGGGTTTAAGTCAGGTGAGTGCTCTGTTGAATTTGGCAAGTGGGTTGGTTGATTAATAGTAGGAAAGGGATGTGAGGATGGCCCATTGTCAGTGATGTTAGGAAATGATGAGGGGAACACAAAATTGGGATTGGGTGGTGTAGAAATAGATGAGAAAGGGAAAATGGTTTCACAAAATTTGACTTCACGACTTACGAAAAACTTGTGGGTCTCCAAATCATAAAGTTTGTAGCCTTTTTGACCAGTGGGGTATCCAACAAAAATGCAGCGTTTGGCACGGGGATCAAATTTTTGAGTAAGATGAACAACAGTTGCATAACATAAACAACCAAATACTTTCAGGTGATCAAAGGATGGTGGCCGGTTATATAACAACTCAAAGGGTGACTTGGTGGATAAAAGTGGTGATGGTAGGCGGTTAATTAGGTAGACAGCGGTTAAGACACAGTCGCCCAGAAAGAAAGAGGTAAGTGAGATTGGAACAATAAGGCTCGTGCTACGGTGAGAATATGCCGATGTTTGCGTTCGGCAACTCCGTTTTGTTGTGGAGTGTAAACACATGTGCGTTGATATTCAATTCCATTAGTTTGAAAAAAATCTCTCAAGGAAAAAAACTCAGACCCATTGTCAACTCTGATGGCTTTAATTTGGGCACAAAATTGAGTATGAGCAAAAACAACAAAAGATTTTAAAAGATGTTGAGTTTCAGACTTATGCTGCATCAAAAATACCCATGTGCATCTTGTGAAATCATCCACAATGGTAAGGAAAAAATGTGCCCCTGAATGTGTGGGAACTTTGTGTGGACCCCAAATATCACAATGTAACAAATCGAATGGAGCATGTGTTGATATAGAACTTAAAGGAAATGGAAGTCGTGTTTGTTTGGCCATGGGACAAATATTGCAATTATCATCAAAAGAAATATTTTTTGAAGTCAGGAATGGAGTCACCAATTTGAGACGAGAAGACGACGGATGACCAAGTCGCATATGCCACAAATTGGTGGGGTGTGAAACTTGATTTGAGATGGGTGTGCTCTGTAATGGAGACATGTAGTAGAGACCACCACGTTGTTTACCCGAGCCAATTATCTTCCCCGTAGCCAAGTCCTGCAAGACACAGAAAGTGGGAAACAAAAGGACACAACAGTTTAAAGAATTAGTGACTTTACTGACAGACATGAGATTTAAGCGGAAAGAAGGAACACATAAAACTTTGTCTAAGGTGATGTCTGAGTTGAAAGGTACGGTGCCAGTGGAAGTGATTGGGACTGTGGATCCAGTGGGTAAATTAACAATGGGCATTGGGCAAGATTCTGTCTTAGTGAAAAGTGTAGAATCAGAAGTGATGTGGTCAGTGGCTCCGCTATCCAAAATCCAAGGTTTAGTGAAGGCAGAATTAATTGAGACATATGTAGAAGATGACAGACCAGAAGCATTTGCATAAGAATTGTTATTACCAATGACACGGTTTGCATTCATTATAGATATGGCATGAGCAGGTTGTTGAAGCTCCTTTGCAGAACGCCCATTTGATGGGTTTGGTTGTGAAGACCGTGAATTGGAGAACTGGGCGGCGCATGAAAGCTTTGAGACTGTTGACCCCAATTGGAAATCTGGGCTGGACATGTAGAGACATTTGCTGCGTTGGCAGAATGTAAGAAGGCAAGCGCCTTGTGGTTCGCGCTGGAAGCATGCTTTGGCTGGTGATGCATCTGGTGATTAGTCAAATATGCATTTGATGCCGTGGAAATTTTTGGTTTTGTCTTTTCTGGAAGTGTTTGATTTGAGATGGTGTTTGAAAATTGAATTTTGTGTTTTCTGGCAACAAAAAATTTTTTTTGATTTGATATGGTGTTTTTGAGAAAAGAGTAATCAGGCACAGGATGGTGCTCTGATACCATCTTAAGAAACCAGACTAGGGAAGATAAAAGGACGAATTGACTAGGGTTTGAATAATAGACAATTGGGTGAATGATTTTCTAAATTATTCTCATTGTCAACAATACAAGGTATATATACAAATACAACATTCAATTACACCTATTTCTAAGGCTAGGAATTCGTGATCCACCTTTGGTGGGATTTGATCTAGACTAAATCAAGTAAGTAAATATTACAAATATATTACAAAGATAATTCTTAACATAATGTCGTACAAGAACAATCCTTCAATGAAAGGAAACGATGCCGTTGAGGTGATCAGCAAAGCATTGAGTCGGGCACTCGTGTATTACTACCCTTTGGCTGGCAGGCTCAGGGAAGGACCTAATAGGAAGCTTATGGTGGAGTGCAATGGAGAAGGTGTCTTGTTCATAGAGGCTAATGCTGACGTCACGCTTGCAACTCGGGGACACGATTGCACCCCCTTCTCCATTCTTAGAGGAGTTTCTTTATAATGTTCCAGGCTCTGATGGGATTCTTGGTTGCCCTCTGTTGCTGATTCCGGTGAGTATTTGTTAGTTAACTGCATGTTAATTAATATATGTTTTTGAATTTCTTGATGGATCTTGGCCCTTCTATACAATGAAAGTTTCTTGATGGATCTTGGCCCTTCTATACAATGAAAGTTTCTAGAGGTGGCATTCCAAATAAGACCAATAATTGTAGCATGTCTGTTTCTAGAGGTGGCATCCGTAAAATGGACCACATGTGGGTCTGCCTTCTTGAAAAAATTGTACAAATTAATTATTGATGAGAAAAATCGGGTGAAACGTATACTTTTTCTTCTTCAGCAATGTGACACAATTAAATGTTGAAGGATTACAGAATAAATAAAAAATTCATTTCACAAACAAATTGAAAACTGAGGAAGAATTAGGGGACTATAGATATAATCTTGTAATAATGGAATTCATTGTCTTTGGAAATGGTGAATCTCCATATTCATGCAGGTTTTAGCTTCAAGAAGTTAGAATATATGTATTCACAGGCCTGAGTGGCTTTGGCTCTTCTTCCTTTCTCAAATACTAGGATGAAAAATGAGGTATTGGTACCAATATGCTTGCCATTATCGGACACGGAGAGATTTCAGCAGGAGCTCGAGAAGAGTCTCTTAAGGATATTTATAACAATAAATCAGCTAGGATCACGTCAAGGATGTAACAAATTCATCAAATGCCACATCGCTTAGTGTATGATGTCAATGAATTTTGGAATGTAACATAAGAACTAGATGCAAAGGTTTGTGATTCGAGGAAGAATAAAACATCATTTGGTGTTTGTGAACCATAATTGAAATCCACCCGTGAGAAAGGAATGAAGAATGTGAATCATTCAAAACGCATGAGAAATTGAAGAATAATTTGAATCACTAATAATCCAAATCTTTTCCATGCGTGGTCCTTATGCTTTATATCTGTGGCACGGACACGGTCTATCAATTTGACTGGATTGTGTGCAGGGGCGGTCCTACCCTAAGGGCAGGGTAGGCAGCCGCCTAGCCAAACCAAAAATTACCCAATATCCAATACAATTAAATTTCTTCTGCCTACTCAAACCCAACCTACCAAGGGCGATCCTACCCTAAGGACAGGGTAGGCAACCACCTACTTCATTTTTTGCCAAATCAAAAATTACCCAATATGCAATACAATTAAATTTCTTCTGCCTACTCAAACCCAACCTACTAAGGGCAATCCTACCCTAAGTACAGGGTAGGCAGCCGCCTACTTCATGTTTTGCCAAACCAAAAATTACCTAATACAATCAAATTTCTTTTGCCTACTCAAACCCAACCCACTCAAAATTTTCCCTTTAACAAAAACAATAGCCCAGCCCACTCAAACTTTCTCCATTAACCAAAATAATAAAAAGCAATATAAGCATGTGAAAGTTGTATGAAGATTTTTTTCAATGTTGACTAACATTGTGAATTTTGTTAGTGCTTTTGCCAAGCCCCATAATGAGTTAAATTTAATTCGAAAAACTGAACTCAAAGAGTTGTTGGATTTTGGGGAACTTGTGACAAGTAGAGGCTCATTATGTCCTCCATGATTAGGTGTCTTTAAAATTTTGAAGATAAGATAAGTGGGGTGTTGGAGGTTGGCGGGCTAGTGTGAAAATAGAAGTGTGTTGGTCCCAAATAAGAGCACTAATTGTACGTAGCATGCCTGTTTCTTAAAAAGATTGTACAAATTAATTAATGGTGAGAAAAATGGGGTGAAATGTCTACTTTTCTTCTTCAGCAAAGTGACACGATTAAATGACTCCACCGAGCCTGTTGTTGACTTTAGATATCTAGTAAGTGAAACTTGGTGATAATTATACGTAATTGACTCGCACGATGATTGTGTGACGTGGAAAAGGAAAGTGACACAAGTATTATAGAGTTCTGAGGCCGGTGGAAAGGGCGGTTCTAGAGAATCTCCAAAACACACTATAAATATATACCGTCTATCAATTGATGCCAAGCCACGAAAGCTCAAACACTTCTGTTTTTATTTTAAAGTTTCCAAAATTTTCTTTTGTAGTACTAGGTTTTCGAGCCCACTCACTTGTGCAATGATTTCCCCATCCGCCCTCCTATTTCAGGTGAACCGTTTGAAGCCAGAACTTATAACACCAGCGAAGCCAACACCTCATGAAACAAAGCTACTCTCAAATATTGATGACCAGGAAAGCCTTAGGTTTCAGGTTCCAGTCATAATGTCGTACAAGAACAATCCTTCAATGAAAGGAAACGATGCCGTTGAGGTGATCAGGGAAGCATTGAGTCGGGCACTCGTGTATTACTACCCTTTGGCTGGCAGGCTCAGGGAAGGACCTAACAGGAAGCTTATGGTGGAGTGCAATGGAGAAGGTGTCTTGTTCATAGAGGCTAATGCTGACGTCACGCTTGCACAACTCGGGGACACGATTGCACCTCCTTCTCCATTCTTAGAGGAGTTTCTTTATAATGTTCCAGGCTCTGATGGGATTCTTGGTTGCCCTCTGTTGCTGATTCAGGTGAGTATTTGTTAGTTAACTGCATGTTAATTAATATATGTTTTTGAATTTCTTGGTGGATCTTGGCCCTTCTATACAATGAAAGTTTCTGATTGCTGGAATTTACTTCCATGGAATCTTTGCCTCTTTATGGATTTGAAGTAGCTAGGTGAAGGTCCATTACTGTTAATTTGTACCATGTGAACTGTGTATCAAAAGTGTGTGTGGTCCCAAATAAAACCATCTACGGACTTCTAAGATTGTACAAATGGTGAGTAAATATCAGGTGAGTTAAAACAAACTGTGATATATATAAAATTAATAAAAAAATATCTAGCTTCAGTTCTTAAGTATTTACAGCTGAGGAAGAAGCAGTAGGCGGCAGGCACAATGGAGGGAGGATTGGTGGTTGTAAGTAAAACACGGGTGTTCTCAAGTGGTGGCTTTTCACTTAACTCATAAATTAGTTTTTAAATTTTTTTGTCAAAATAAATAAATTGATGATTAGCACATGTCTCAATTTTAATTAAAATCTGATGATGTGGTTGTGCCACCTTATTTGGGACACATATTTGGTGTCCCTAGCAGTACTCATATACAAGACCCTTGCTGAATCTATTATGCGCAAAATATCTTGAGATAAAAAATTTCACTGAGAGTATGAAGGAAAAAGCCTAGTGATTAATTCAAGCTTGTACAATATACAGGTAACCCGTCTTTCATGTGGAGGTTTTATACTTGCATTACGCCTAAATCACACAATGTGTGACGCAGCTGGGCTTGTCCAGTTCTTGAACGCCGTTGGGGAGATGGGACAAGGTGCACAAGTGCCATCTACTACACCAGTGTGGGAGCGAGAGCTCTTGGGTGCTCGAGAGCCGCCACGAATTACGTGTGTGCATCATGTATATGAAGAAGGGATTGATGCTCAAGGCTCATTTCCAAGCACTAACAAGCCAAACATGGTCCAACGATCTTTCTATTTTGGGGCCAAGGAGATAAAGGCCATTCGGAATCATATTCCATCGCAGTTATCAACCTGCACTACATTTGATTTGATAACAGCTTGTTTGTGGAAATGCCGCACACTTGCACTTGGAATGAATCCAAAACAAGTTGTTCGCCTTTCATTCTCAGTCAATGCATGTGGTGAGCGCCACAATGTACATCTTCCCTTGGGATATTATGGCAATGCAGTTGCATTTCCTACTGCAGTTTCAGAGGCTAAAGAATCCGTTGGGATATGCTTTGGAGTTGGTAATGAAGGCAAAAGCTACAGTGAATGAAGAGTACATGAGATCAGTTGCAGATCTTATGGAAATAAGAGGACGGCTACCAAAATATCCATTGACAGGAAACTTCATAGTTTCCGATAATTCGCGTGCAGGTTTTGGAGAGGTCTGTTTTGGTTGGGGCAAGCCGATATTTGGTGGACCTGCGAAGGCCTTGAATTTGATTAGCTTCTATGTTCAACACAAATGCAACGATGAGGATGGGGTATTGGTACCAATATGCTTGCCATTATCGGACATGGAGAGATTTCAGCAGGAGCTCGAGAGGATGACTGGGGAGACTGTGCAGACTATGGAGGATATATATGACAGAAAATCAGCTAAGATCGTGTCAAGGATGTAACAAATTTAGATATCTAGTATGATGTCAATGGATTTCGGAATGTACCATATACATTAGATGCAAAGGCA